TTATTATTTTTATTTTTATATATATATATATATATATATATATATATATATATACAGTCAATGATTTTATGTCAGTTTATGGTGTTCATTCAACTATTTAAGCAGTATAAAAGTTGTTTTTTTAATTTGAGTTTTTATTTGCACAGTAAAATTTGTTTACCTTCTGCAACTGTTCCTTTATATATTGTATTATTATCTGGGGTCATTTAACCACTACAGTAATCAAAGCTTTCAGTATGTACATGATAGCATTTAGATGTTTTTATATTCTCTTTACTCCTCACAGTAGAATAAGACACTATAAACCTATTTAAACGGCCCGTCAAAACAAAAAAACAGTGAAATCGCCAGAATCTTAAAGAAATACCATGATACAAATTTTTGCTCATACCGCCCAACACTAGCTGCTAGCAGATAGAATATAACCTTTTATGTAGGTGAGCCAGTGAATCACTGCAGCAAACATTCACAGACGAGCTGAGAGCTCAGTGGAAAAAGATTATTTTTGATTATTAACAATCATTAGTGAAAAACTGGTGAAGGATTATTATATGGACTCATACTGACCTTTTGTGTATCCTCCTTTCTTTCAGCTCTGTTCCAGTATGTCTCCACTGAGTCCAGGGAGTACGAAGACATGCTGACCATCTTGACCTCCAGCTACATCGACACCTTCTCCACCGGCTGCTTCACCTACTGCAAACCTCGGCTCGTCCACAGCGAGCTGCTGGAGAAAGAGGTGAGCGATGGAGGCGCTGAAGGTAGAACTGGAGGAGTATGTGGGATTATGAATGTGTATACACAAGTGTAGTTGAAAGAAGAAAGAAGCGATCATTCAAACAAACTGGTATATGCTTTAATTGTTTTCTTTGAAGCCGTGTTTGATTTGAGTCGCTGATCTTCTTATTAACTGTTTGTGTTTCAGTTTGTAGAAAAAAGGAGGGAGATGAAGTCGGACGGGAGAACGGACAAGGAGCTGGAAGAGAGCTACTGTTTCCTGTTGGCTGATACTGTTAAGGTGAGATTAATACTGAGCTGTGTCGTCTCGGTTAGAGGCAACGTATTTTGACATTTATCTTGTCGATATACTAGTATGAGTTAAGTATTCTTTAATATAAAAAGAGACCAAACTTTATGTCTTGATGGGGGACGTGGCTAAGAGAGGACAGAATGTGACGTTGCCTTGTACTTCAGGTGTTTTTAATTTTATTGTAATGAACAGTTAAGATAGAAACCAGTCAAGAGTCAATGAGTATTTTCCTTTGAGATTGATTTTATTATCCAATTTATAATATAATACCTAATTTTTCTGAATTATATGTGTTGTAGCTGCCTGATATCTGTGAGAAGGGGCTGTTGGTGGGTCAGAGCTGGATCACAGTGCTGGGAAACCCCACTAAAGGTAGGAGTGAGCAGATACATGCTGATACATACATAGAAAATAACTAAACATTCCTTTTCTATTTCTACCTTTTTTTTTTTCTGTGCATGCTGAAATGAGAAATTAGTCACAAAGTGCTAACATGTCATTTCTAGTGGTGACTCTAAGATCAAAGACAGTGGATGTAGGAGAAAGAAAATGATCTGTGATTGTAATTTTGTTCTTCTTTGTTTGGTGTGTGTCTGTGTAGGAGTGTATCTGTCCAGGTACTCAGACTTGCTCCAGATTAACTCCATAACCCCTGGAGCCACAGGGGAGATCATAATCTTCAAAGTGATGAAGGTAAATCCGCTGGCCCGGTTGTCATCATCATCATCACTGCCTCTGTCAGCTCACCTTTTTCTCCATTTTTATTACTTTTTTTCAACTACAGGTCTTTTAAGGTCACAATTAGATCATTTGGGAGGATATTTTGTTAGGTTTGGATGTTATAGCTTATGACAGAAACACTCACAACCTTTCCCACACTCAACAACAATGAAACAGTGAAGCCATGTGCTGTGTCTGGGATTTCTACCTTGTGGGATACTCTGAGTGCAAAATCTAGAGATAAGTGTGAGACTTTAGTCCCACAGAGGGCAACGTTTATGGCTTCAGCTCAACCCTCTTCAGCCTCGGACATCTGCAGGACGGCCAAAGGTTATATTACAACCAGAAAACAGGTTGGAAGCGTTAATCATTCTCCATGAGAAAGCAATGGAGATGGTGCCAATAAGGATGAACTAAGGGAGAATTATAAAGAGATTGAGCCAACAGAAAGGATGCTTGGTGATTGACAGGAGTGTAAATAATCCCTCAACTGACATCTGAACACCCAAAAAAATGATGAAATTATTCTACACGTGGGAACTAATTATGTATGCAGAGACCAATCAGTGCAATTACAGGATTTCAGTATGTTGATAACAAGCTAATTGATCTACCTTCATCCCACCTGCTCCTCTTTTGGGATTCACTGACAGAATGGCTCCAACTCAACCCTTCAAGCTCAACTGCACAACCAAGTAGTTGCACCCAACTCTGGCTCTGGAAACTGGCCCTGCTGACTGTTGGCTCTCTAACAACCTTAATTAATTATCTTATTGCTGCTTTTAACCTTGATTTTGTGTTATTAACAGAAACCTGGTTAGATCGGTTATAATCCACCACAACTGTACTGCAGCCTTATTTAATGATGTGTTGTTGTGCAAGCAGTTATCACTTGGTGAATACACCTTTGAGTACTGTGGAAGGATATTTAGCTATTTACACAATCAGTACATAACCTAATATGTTTTAATTTTACTCAAAAGAAAACACATCAGATCAGAAATTAAGTCTGTTTGTGCACAAGAACATAGAGAGGGAATCTTTCCTTTTCTTTTTTTGTAATGTCACATGATCCATTGATTTAAATCATATCAGAGAGCTCCTCATCTGATTATTGAGCAATCAGTAACATCCTGTCCCATTAGGGGGAGCTTAGTGTGGGCGGGGGCTGTGAGGTTTGAAAGATGATGTCAGGAGAAATGTGGATTCTGAATTCAGATCCTGCGTGTTTCAGATCTGTATTTTACTGTCTAGAATCTGAAGAATAAAGCACTTGAACGACGGCTGAACAGAAAGAAGAACGAACACGATGCCAGTACCTTTCTGCCACACTGAATTCATCCTCTTGAGCTTTATTGTTAATTGTCAACAGGCCACCACCTTCTTTGATGACTCTGCACTCTAATATTTAGCGATATAAGTGGCAATAATCAGGCTTTGACAGTGGAGTTTTGTCTGTTTGTTGTTTCAGGGGAAAGTGAAGAGCATCTATGAAAACATGAAGAACCTTTTAGATCCAACGCCGCGCTTCGACAGCCACATCTCCAAGAACGCCAGCAAAGTCACGTCGCTCACCTCCTACCGCGCCCTCGAACTCACACAGGTAAATACAGTCTCAAACACATGGAGTCTGACAGAAAGCATCAGTAAATACACAGAAAGGACCCGTTATCTCTGGACTAAAATCACTATTTAAATGGTTTAAGCTGTTTTAGTGATCAACATGACTTTTTTTATTGCTGTAAAAATGAATATTTAAAGAAGTGAAGCACTAAACTCTATTTTTGTTTATTTCAGCAATATTTCTATGAGTATTGCTTTGATGAGCTGCGGCAGCGGCCTCGCCAGGTCTGTCCGTACGCCGTCGTCTCCTTCCAGTTTAAAGGAAAAGATTCTCCACTTCCCAGCAATCCTCTGGCCCCCATCAGGTATGGAAATCAACAAATTAGAATTTCAGTTTGTGTTATTTGTGATGTAAAACAGCAGTAATGTAAATTAAAGCTGATTTATTGCAAATAGGCTTAAACTTACATAACCATCATCATGGTTCACACTGAATGCTGCATGAGTTACAATCTTGATCTCAGCACTAAATATCTGAAGTCATGTTCTTTGTGTGCTGTGTTTGATCCAGATTGAACAGCCAATCAGCAGAGGGGAGTAAAGGTGAGCGCTGGTCCTTGTTTTTCATTCAATCACATCAGACCTTCAACAAGATAGTTACAGATCAGTTATATGACCTTTTTATAGGACGTCCTCTTTTTCATGTCTTACCCTGAACCTGAATGCTGATGATGAGCTATCCTCTCTCTCTCTCTCTCGTTGCTCTCTCATTGCTTTCTCAGAGCGTGCTCAGTTCACAGTGTGGACTGGAGATTTGGTGAAAGGTGACAGAGTTCTCTTCCAGATCTCCCTTCGATCCTTCTCTCCTCCCTTCCTGCCCCACAGACTGTGAGTACTGAACTTCTGGCTATTTAAGCACATTTTTAACACTCCAAAACTGTGCCTTACATTTAATCTAACCAAGCGCATTCTCAAATTTTTAAATATTTCTTTCTCTGTGTGTCGCCTTCAGACCAGAGAAGTTGGAAATTGGTTCATTAATGAGGCTCGACCAGGTGACCAAGCTCCTCCCCTCTGACCTGTTCTCCTACAACCTCTACAACAACAGCCAAGAAGGTGAAGTCCAGTATACATTCACACTGATGCTACATTACACTGCAGGGTGCAGCTGATGGGACTTTAAAGGCTGATACCTATAATGTTACATTTCTTGTATTCAGCATTTCTGAAACGTTATTTACACAATCAGCCATAAATCCTGTCAGGGGTGACTGTATGCATTCTTTGTCATTTGTACTGCATTATTATTTGTACTGAGAACAGAAATTGAATGGGATTGTTGTGTGTGTAGTTGTGAAGAACGGTCATTGCTGCAGTCTCCTGGAGGTGGCTGACAGAAGTCGGTCTACGACCAGCCTGTCGAAACTGCTGCATGAACTGGAGATAAAGAGAGTGGTGAGTTTGGCTGAGTTTAGTTTTTATTAAACTAACTTAAAAGATGTTAGGCTTTTATTGTGAAAAATCTGCAAAAAGTGTTGAGTTTCCCTGAGAGACAAAAGAAAACTGCAAAGTTGATGCGACTGCGAAGTTTTTGTGAATGACTATTGTAAACATGTTAAAAATGAAAGTGAAAGCAGCAGTGTGGTGAATATGAAATGACTGTTTTGTACTTTTGGAATTAGTGCTGGAACTGTACAAACTACTGAATTTCTCCTGTAACCCACAGTTCAGTTTCAGGTTCACACACACGATGGACAAACATGATAAAAGTACTTAAGGCTCCAATAATCAGTGCTTAAAAATAGAAAAATAATAAAACTACTAAAATAAATATCTGCCAGAATAAATAAGGTGCAATGCATTATATACAGGTAATGTAACCCCCCTCAGTGTCTCTTATCTGGCCTTTGTGCAAAGGACCAGCCTTTATTTGCTTTTGCTGACCTTATTTGAATACTGGTTTTTGTGTGAGAATTTAAAGTAGTCTTTTTGTGTCACATAATCGGTCTCACACATTTACATGTGTAAATATCTTCCACAGGTGATTGTCCCCCCCCCAGCTGAGAGCTTTGAAAACACAAGAGTTCATTTTCTGGAGAATATGTGTGTAATTTAATGCCTATAGAGCTGTAACAGCGGGAGGACAATGAACTGTAGAAGGAGTTCTGTAAAAGATTGGAAGAAAGAGTAAAAAATAAATTAAAGAGAAGAGAATAATTGTTGAATAACAGTCTGCTCTCCCTACAGGTTCTGGTGACTCAACTTACAGAGAAAGGCTTTCTCATCCTGCTGTCCAGTGTTCAGATGGCCACACCCACTGGTATGACACTTGAAAGATGATGTAACCTTGCACATTATGTAGAAGATGAAATGTTTTTCATTGAAAAAATGAAGAATAAGGTAGTAAAGTGAGGGTAATTACCATCTGATGCCTTTGTATGTGCTTTTTATCACTGCGTGAGGTGAAGTATTCTACGTTTTCCACAGCCACTTGCCAGTTAGCAGAATAGTAAACGTTTTATTGATTCACAATTTCCATATTTTGGACCAGTACACTCTTCAAATGTAAAGTTTGTGTTGTTTTTGTATTTTCAGAGAGAGGAGAGAACTGGAACAGGTGTCTTCAGGCCTTGTTTGTCTTCCCAGAGTCCAGAGATGTGGCCACATCCAGTGAGTAACACAAACATTTTACAGATTATGTATTATACAGTGGGGATTTGCCGATAAAGGTTATATATTTATATTGATGTTGTTTTTCTTGTTTCTTCCCACAGCATTAAGGTCTGCCTCCTCTTCCCATGATGCCTCAAAGTCGTTGATGCCTGGTGTCACGGTGATGCCACATCTGAACCAGTTTATCCCAGCGTTGCACCACGCCCTGGTCAAGGCCCGCGCCAACCCCCCTCCTGAGCTGTCTGCCGGTGTGGAGCGCCAGGCACGGGAATACCTCATCGGCCAAAACGATGGCAAAGTGCGACTTTTCTTTTAATCGTAACCCCGAAAATTTCTGTTTATTAAATTATGGTGATACTGCTCAACTGCCCAAATGTTATGGATGGTCACCAGTAGGGCGATTATTCATGTCATTCAGTCATTGATTGGAAACTGCTGAGGGACAATCATTTTAGTATTAGCACTTAACACTAGAGTCCCCAGATGCCATGTAATATTCACTATGACGGTTTGCTGGTGATTCTAAACCCATGGGCACTAATCTGTAACAGCTTCCACTCTTCTGGGAAGTCTTTTCACAAGGTGTTTAAACCTGGATGCAGGGAGTTGCTCCCGTTCAGCCACAAGAACATTAGTGATGTTCATTACTGATGTTAGTAATAAGGTCCCCAAAGTTTCTTGTAGGGTTTTCCACACCAAACATTTCTTTATGGAACTGGCTTTGTATACGGGAGAATTGTTATGTGGACAGCAACGTCTATATGTCTATGTCTTCTATTTGGTCCTTTGCTCATTCCTCATAACATTAAGGCACCTGTCTTTGCTCTCCAGGTTCGACAGTACCCCATGAGCAAGTACGAATCCAAATTGGATGAGCCAGGAAAGCCGTTTCCTGCTCCCAAACACCACAGACTGAACATGGACGGATATCTGCGCTCCTACCTGTATAACCCCGTCCTGTACCTGCTGTCAGTGGCCCGGGCCAGGCTAATGATGGAGGCGCTCTGTGGCCCTGAGGAGCCTCAGGATGTCAGGCCCAGGAAGAGCTGTGGAGGCCAGAGAGAGGCGACGGGGAAGGAAATGACCAGTAGCGCTAAAGATGGACAGACCAACACTCAAAAGGTGAAAACTGACATTCATTCATTCTTTCTCTTGTGGTTTTTGTTATGTTGGCTTTTCAGTCTGTAGTGAACTCAAATGTGTTTCCTTCGTCCCTCAGATGCAGCAGCTCATAGACCTGGTTTTAACCTGTAAGAGGAATGCGGAGAATGAGGTGAACAGGGAGGAAGGAGGAGGAGGAATGGTGAAGGCACCAGGGAGGAAGAGGCGACTGGAGCAGGAGAAGGCAGAGAGGGCGATCAAGTTCCTGAAGGCATCACAGGAACCTGGAAGACACAGCAAGATTCCAGGTGAGGAGAGAAGAGGCCGAGTAACACTAACGGCCAGCAACACAGTGCATTGAGGCGTTCATGTTCGTATTTTCACTGGATTTTAAGAGACACAAAGCAGTTCGCCTAAAGTGTAACCTGAATTCAGGAAGGAGCTCACCTCACCAGCATGAGTGAAGGAGTTCAAGTATCTTTTGGGCCCCTTCTTGAGTGAGAATTAAGGCTAAATTATACTTGTGCTTTCTTGGTTTTGTTATCTGCTCATGTCCTTGAAGGCACAAGCCTGTGTATAGCCTGGGAATATCTAGAGATCTGGAGATGTTTAGCTGTACGTCAGCTCTACGTCAAGCATACGCTGCAGGTGACCTACACTGATATGAGCATTTATTTGCGCTGGCGTGTCTTCACTGCTCTGCAAATAGTTTCTATGGCACTCTATGGCTGAGTTACGACTGAAACTGAAACTCTCCCTTGTCTCTCATTGATCTTTTTTGTGGGTTTTTTTTCCCCGCCGCCCATGAAACAAAAGGACAATACGAATACGAGGGGAAAGACAAGAGCATGTCATGCAGCGAGGCAGCGTCCCGTGAGTGTGAGAAAGAAGAGTGATTCTCAGACAAGATTATTAAGTCATCTGAGTTTTGCATGAGTCACTTCCAAAGCACGGTTGTAGACCGTACTGCAGAGTGTCTCTGGGGAGGTGCATGTCAAGGTTCGCTGCACTTATGGTGTTGATTTGATGCAGAAGTATAAATCAGGCTTAAGAAAGTCTACTTGTGAATGTGTGTGTGATACAGGGGTTAAACTTACATTTAGTTTCGTTTGTGAATGATTTTGAACCTGCAGAGACAAGTTTTATGTCTGCATATTTTATTTTTTTTTTCGACTGTACATACTGCCTCTC